CGTGAAAAATGGATCAAGATGATTCCTATAAAGAGTAAGTCTGCTCGATTAAGGGTTGTTTGGCATGCTAAAAATGTAGTGTGTTGTAAAAGACTACGGGTCTCTAAATGAGTGAGTTGCTGGGCTGGTTGGTGGTGCATGACAGACGAGACGCATATTAGCACACACACACACAAAAACGACAACCTCAAGAAAGTAAATGACGACGCGCAATACTCACAGCTGTTTATTAGCAAAAAAAAAAAGGAGAGATGACAAGAGTGCACATATGGAAGCCATGTCACTACATGTGGTTATGAAACAAGGTTTTGAAACACGTCCATTTTGTGAATAATTAGTGTTGAATAAGGGATTTTAAGTGCTGTTTCGTTTTAAATCAGTTGCAGAGTGTCTTTCATTGACTATTCATGTACCTGCAATCTACATTTGCCATATTAGACGAAAGTATTTATGCGCAAAATTACCTGTATTGGGTTGTTTTTTATGTGCGCTGGATGCCGCGGCTACTGTCAAATGTCATAGTCCTTGCCCTTTCTTGCCCAGACAGTAAATGCAAGCCAGCTCAGTGTACTCCAACGGCAACAAGTCTACTATTGTATACACATATAGCTGGTATCATGAGTTGAATAAACATATGGTGGCCAGCACTTTTTATAACCTGTCTCTGTCGTCATTCTTTCTTGTTTTACACGCTGACACATGTGTTTGTACCTGATTCGCGATTGTATTTGAAAAATAATGCACTGAAATGTCAACCAAAACGCAAAAGAAGATTCTCAAAGTCGCATGAAATAAAATGATTCAATATGGCCGCCCCAGTGACTCAATGTGTGATGAAACTCTTATTTACCCGGCGGCAACCCATGCATTTCCATGCATGCACCGGCGCTCTGGATGGATGGATGGATGGATGGATGGATGGATGGATGGATGGATGGATGGATGGATGGATGGATATGGCTGTACCCTTTAGATCGGGCGATGGCTAGCGCCACCAAGCCGTAATACTTAATGAACCAAAAACTAGATTTATTTTTTTTCCTTAAAAAGTGAGTTTGAGGATTCGTACTTTGCAGTGAAGAGTTTAATTTTCACTCGTGCCTTGACTTTAGCCACCAATCAGATAACCTCCTTCTAGTTAAGTCTACCCGCTTAAAGTTTATTTTGCCCTCCCGGTCCCTAAACCCCAGTGCTTTGAAAAACTCTGCGCCATCATCCTGAACTATAGGGTGAAGCCCTTTACAGAACATTATCAAGTGTTCGGCAGTTTCTCCTTCCTCTCCACACGCACTGCATACTGTGTCTACCCCTTCGTATTTAGGCCGATATGTCTTGGTTCGCAGTACTCCCGTCCTGGACTCAAACAGTAGAGAACTACCCTAGTATTAGCATAGATCCTTTCCTTGGCGACTTCCTGTTCAAAAGTTCGATAGATCTCTAGTGCGGACTTCTTAATCATGCCCATTCTTCACATCTCAGTCTCCGTTTCCTTCACTTTTTTCTTAACCGATAGTTCTTTTTAATTAGGCCACCTGCTGTTTTCTAAGTATTTATCAGTCAACTTCCTGGTTCGCTTCCTCCATTTTGTATCGACATTCATCAGGTACAAGTAGCTGAAAACCTTCCTAGCCCAACGCTCCTCCCCCATTTCTCTCAATCGCCTCTCAAATTTCATCTTGCTGCTAGCTTCCCATCATGTCCATTCCATATCACCCTGTACTCCCTGATTTTGTGTATTCCCGTGAGCACCTAAAGCAAGCCTACCCATTCCACGTTGCTTAATTTCTAATCCTGCCTAAACTTCTGATCTCATGCAGAAGATCGCATTGCCGAACGTCAGCCCAGGAACCATGACCCCTTTCCATATTCCTCTCACAACATCATACCTATTGTAATTCCACAATGCCCTATCCTTTATCACTGATGCATTCCTGTTACCTTTAGTCGTCACGTATATCTCGTGTTCTCGGTCCCATTGCTTGGTACTCGGTCCCATGCTCTGCTTGGGTAACTCGAGCGTCCCTAGGCGGCGAAGTTTGGAATCTGAGCCGGCGCAGGTAGCTCCGTAGACCGGGAGAGGTTCTTTGCAGTACGTTTTACATGGGTCTCCTTTGCGCATGCGTGGCCGTCGCCTAGCAACGGAGACGCGCTTTGCGAGCGTAGCCAAGCCGAATGGTGTTGGCCGAGCGCAGGCATCTCGGGCGTGTAATAGCGCGATAGAGCCGCTAGGCCGCTGTGACTACGCTCAGCACTTGTTGAGAGCAGATTTTGTGCCACTTTTCCTGCGGCACGGGGCTCTATGGAGCCTGCAATGGCGACAGCACCTGAAGATGTATTAAGGAGGCACCTACGGGACTTGAAGTGTGGAAACACGTGGACCGGCTATGCTGACTGCAGAGAGGCATACGAAGAGCTTTTAAGGGAACTCGCCGCTGTCAATGTGTGCTTACAGACTGAGCACTCCGTGAAGCCAGAAGGTATGTTCATCGCAAATACGTAGCGCGTACGTGCCGCCTCAGGATGGTGCGTGATGGATGGATGGTCAAACTTTCTTATTAAGAGTCCTGAGAGATGCGACTAGCGCACAGTGGGCTCCTGCCACGTTGGGACGGATGATGTAAAGATTTCTTTTATCTGTGCAGGCAGGCTGATCTTCAGCACTCAACGCGGACATGTGGTCATAAATGAAGACATCCCTTTTAAGGTTGTCCAGACCACGGACAGAGGCTGCCTCTTTGGGAGACACCTGCACAAGGTGCAGAATTCAAGAAATCGACAGGTAACATTCTAACGGACACATCAATCGAGCTGATACGGATAGTTTATTTGTCACATGCACTCATATCTTTTTTGCATTGAAGCGTGCAAGTATTGGTACGTCGCACGAAATCCTGCTGATGCGCATTCACAGTGACATACCTTCACAACCACATCACTGTTGGGAAACAAAAGAGCAAACCCACGCTGATCGACATCGTTAACGTTTATTAACTATTTGGCAGATTTTATTTTTTGTAGTTATTATATAGGACATAAAAGTTTCATCTGTTTATCGACCGATTAACGTTTTCATGGCGATCGAGGTACATATTACCAGATATTAGTAAAAAACGCTTGCCTAAAATGTGACATTCTCTGATACTGGAACCAAGTGAGCCGTATTCTAACAGCTGGACTTCCAGTGCTGTCTGTCATTGCTGAATGCACGTGAAATTGTAACAGCGAAACTCGTACAACTGCTGCAGTTGCAGAGCGACACGAAATCCATAAATGAGTAGCACATGGGGCATCGAATAATGTTGAAGTGAACATCTTTAAAAATAATCTGTCTTTGGCAAAGAAATATCAATGCAGTTTTTTTTTCGTTTTTGGTAATACACCTGATCATCAATAAAGCTATATAAAACAGTAATTACTTAAAGGAGGGTAATATTCAGGCTAAAATGATTAAACGTATAGCCCTATGAGCATTTTTTGTGGTATACACTTTTATGTTTGTTATAAAACCCAGGGGATTTATTTTATGGGGAGGGGACAAAGGAGGGTTAAGCCATAATGCTAATTTAAATGTGAGCTAAATACTGTGGCACCTGTACCCAAGTGGAGACGTGAAGTGCTGCTGCTAAGTGAATTTATAATTCCAAAACACAAACTACTTCCTCTAATCCATGTATGATTGCCATTATTAGTTGCATACTGATGTTCCATATCTCATTTCATGCAATAGGAGAAGCATGCCGACTGGTCAGCAGCTACCTTCCAGCGAAAAAAGGTGAAGCTACAGGGGACAAAGAAGAAGGGGTGCACTGCAACAATGCATGTGAAACAAGTGTAGTTGTATCCGGGATTCAGGGTAAACAGAAAAACGAACGCATATAGCCTGATATATTACTTGTTGGCTTTAATCAATACTGAAGTTAAAATTGGAGACATCCACAAAGTAGTAGTAGTTTGCATTAAATTAGTGAAAGCAATCTGTGGCTTGAATCTGCAGTGCTGTGTGTGTGTGTGTGTGTGTGTGTGTGTGTGTGTGTGTGTGTGTGTGTGTGTGTGTGTGTGTGTGTGTGTGTGTGTGTGTGTGTGTGTGTGTGTGTGTGTGTGTGTGTGTGTGTGTGTGTGTGTGTGTGTGTGTGTGTGTGTGTGTGTGTGTGTGTGTGTGTGTGTGTGTGTGTGTGTGTGTGTGTGTGTGTGTGTGTGTGTGTGTGTGTGTGTGTGTGTGTGTGTGTGTGTGTGTGTGTGTGTGTGTGTGTGTGTGTGTGTGTGTGTGTGTGTGTGTGTGTGTGTGTGTGTGTGTGTGTGTGTGTGTGTGTGTGTGTGTGTGTGTGTGTGTGTGTGTGTGTGTGTGTGTCTTCCTTTGTCCTTGTGGTTGCGCGCTACACCAGTTTCATGGATCATAACCAACTAGCCCAACAACGCGCCTTGTGGCTTGAGACATGCACCATGATATACATGTTTTTGATAATGCATGTGCATTGCACAGGTAATACTGAATTACACTTTTTTCTCCTCGTTCTGTGCAGAAATGTCTTTTATTCATTGTGGCCAAAATGCTGAATAAAGTCTACGAGTATGAGCACCTTTAAATTTTATGCACACCTGTTTCGATAAGGCATACGTAATTTTGAAACTTAGAATAACAGAGAGCTGAGCTAGTTGGTAAGCATTCATTATAGTCGTAAGTGTTCATTATATTATTGATAAGTTTGCGGTGTCCTGACTTTTTTCTTGTGTCCGTGTTTGCACGCCCTGTATTCTTGAAAACGCTGTGTGGACAATTATTCAACCTACAAGTTTTACAGCTTGAACTGTTAACTCTTTTTGAAATCACTGCATGAAACGTTATTTAGTTTGTGAATGTAAGTACTTATTTTATAAATCATTCTTTATGCCGTGAAGATCACTCTATAATCCCAAGAATGCTCGTTGAAGTGGGTTTTATCTTTAACTACACTTGTTTTGACACACTAGGTCTGTGGAAGAGTTACGTTTCGCAGCATAATTGCTTGCGCATGTTACTAGGACCAAGAAGCAACAAGAGTGTTGCACACACATCTTGCAATACTTCTTGACAAACAGGTTTGTTGGTTTCGCGGGCAGTCGTCGATTTTTAATTCACTCGATTGGTGCGTGAATGTGCAAACTTTTTCTTGTTACTGTTGTTTGGTGTGTTTTACTTGGATCTCTTTATGTATTGATACTGCAATCATTGCTGCAAGGTTTTAGCACTTCATGCTACCTATGAAAGTGTCAGTCGAGCACCATTGAAAAATTTAACTGCTCTTTAGTGTTTACAGCACTGAATTGCAGTATTCATGGGTAAAGGATGCATGGCAGCGCATATATTTCTGGCAAATGTAGCTAAAGCTGAAAAAAAGTTGTGTATTTAAAATCATTTTAGTATTATTGTATTCAGGGTATTGTGTAATGTCACCATTATAAAACACAGCTTTGTAATACCTACGTGCTTCAATTGTCATATCTTCTCTGCTTTCATATATCAAATGCACCTCTATTTTCTACCACTGAAAGAGGTTCCCATTTTTGGAACCAATTTTGGGAACAACCTAATTTCTTTTACGCTGTTTATCATTTGCTTTTTTTATTTTTAGATCAACATCCCACAACCATGTACCAAACGGCAGCACGAAACAGCTTCAAAGGAAATGATCTCTCGACTGAGGTTGGCATTGCAAGAAGAAGCTAGTGGTAAACCTGTTCTGCACCAGCATCGCTTCTATGTCTGTATGTCTGACAGGGAAAGCCACTCTAATCATGACATTGATGCTCGCTGGGCAGGCTACGCACAGCCGATAAATTCAGAAGTGTCCAAAAAAATTTGTGAGCTTGTACAACAAGGTGTGACATCTGTAAAAACTGTTGAGAGATGCCTAAAACTTTTTGTCCGAGATGTACTGTTCTCAAACAAGCAGTGCCCCCCATCTACTTGCAGAGACTTTTACCCTACGAAGACAGACATAAAAAAATCATATTCAGAAGGCACTTCGTAAGGACAGATTTAGTTCACTTGATCAAGAGAATGTGGCAGTGTATGTAGAACAAATGAATGAGAAAGCACCTGGAACAAGATGTTTTTTCCGAGCCTATCGTGACATGTCTCTGGAAAATGATACCGATGGGCAAAAGGAACCGCAGGCCGAGTTACTTGATTGGGACGCTTTAGAAACTGTGGCACAGGAATGCGAGCGGACACTGCTGTTTTGCATTCAGACTGAGTTCATGAAGGAGTTGATACTTAAGTACAGTGATGTTGTCGTATGTCTTGGTGCTACATACAAAACAACGTATTATGTACTTCCGCTCTTCCTTATTGTGATGAAAACTTCAAGTTGCTATGCTGCTGCAGGTGCTTTCATTGTACAATTTGAAACAGCTCTCTGCATCGAAGAGGCACTAAACATCTTTAAGGCCTGGAATCCAACCCTATGTCCTAAGTTTTGGATGGTGGACTATAGCCAGGCAGAAATCAGTGCACTTTTTGTTGCCTTCCCGAAGAGTAGGCCAGTCCTATGTGACTTTCACCGAGAGCAGGCTTGGCACAGGTGGCTTTCGAAAAAAGAAAATGAAGTACAAGATGTTGACGATATTAAGAAAATGCTGAGGCAAGTAGCAGCCAGTACAAACGAGGGTGACTTGACCAAAGCAATTGAAGCTTTGAAGGATTCACAACAATGGAAGGGAAACGAGAAGCTGCAAGCCTATCTAAGTAGTAAGTGGTTTTCAGTAAAAGAATTGTGGGTGAAAAAGTACAGGTTGGACCTCCCTTTTGGCACAAACAACGGAACAGAATAAAAAAACAAGGAGCTCAAGGCATACTTGGCTGGAAACAGCGGTCGCCGTAGGCTGCAAGGGTTTTTGAAAGTCTTAGTTGAAAGCCTTTTTTTCCGGAAAAAGAGGTGCAGTTCTTGCAAGCAAATCTGAGTTTTTCAACTTCATACCACCTTTATCATCATGATGTGCCCGATTTCCTCCATGGGAGGCCCCCTGTTGTAGCTAAGCATATTATGGAGCGGCTCACAAGAGCATCTGATTACAGGTCGAAAAACGTGGACGTCGGCAGTGAACTAGGAAAATTTCGCATTCGTTCTGTCACTCAGGGTGGTGGCTTTCATGAAGTTAACTTCAGTGATCCAAGCTGTACATGCTTCGACTTCAAGAAGTCGAAATTGCCATACAAACACTTTGCTGCCATTTTTTTTTTTTTTTGCTTGTTGATGGGTGGGGCTTTTCACGTCTACCTGTGGAATACAGGGAAGGGCCTAACATGACTGCTCATTCTGTCAGAATCTGCACATCTGCTGACACAGAAGACCCTGAAGTGCTAGCTGATCCGGTCACTGAAGAGTTTCAGTGTGGTTTGCAGAAAATATCTGAACAAAGTAGGCGCCACTTGAGATCAAAAATAAGCGCCGAAACCGATCGTCTGCTCTCTTCTCTACACTACATTCACAGTGACACAGTGTTACAACACTTGTTTGGCGCACTACATGAGGCGAGAATCCTCGCTGAAGAAAATGTTACCACAAGCAGTGGAATCGCTATACGAGGCTCACCAACAAAAGGGTGCTCAGGATTGGCAGCAAAAAAAGAGCACAAGCATCACCAGCAACTGGAATTGCGGTGAAGAAACTGCAGTTACATAAGGACCATCTGCCTCAAAAGGAGCACTGGGTCTCAAGGGGACCCAGTGCTTCATAACTTCAGCCGAAAGGCTGAAGTTATGAAGGAATGTTACAAGTCACCGTTCTGATTTGTAAGCCAGCAGGTAATGTTTGGTGCTTTGTAGCAAGGATACTAAAATAAAAACTGTATTTTCAATATGCACACCCCATAGCTTGTATGTCAATGAACCCTTTCTTTTAGAAAGACTGATCCAATAATCTTTGCTCCTATCAGGTTGTGTAATATCTTTTGCTTGTTCATACTGCCAGAGTTTGTGAAAGGCTGCGTGCTGGCAGACTATGGTCCTTTGTATTAGCGAGACACTTTGCATGACATCTTTTTTTTTTTTCGTCGCACTCTGTTAACAATGTTCTCTTATGGTGCTCTTCACTGTGGTTTAGTGGAGTCTGCCACACATGCTACCAGTGTTTATTTTTAGTTCTTGTTATTAGTTCCTGAAATGATGTTTGTGCACTATTCTTTTATGACTAATATTCATTTCTGTGCCACCAATGTGTATTTACCTTGCGTATAACACTCATTGCTTTCAAGTTTTATTTTTATAGTGTTTGTGCAGTATTGTTTTATGACACATATTCATTTCTGTACCACCAATGTGTATTTACCTCATGTATGTGACTCATTACTTTTAAATGTTATTTTTATGCTGATTGAACAATTGACATACATTTTTAATATTGAATATGATGTATATTCTGCCTCTGATGCGTCTTTTGTGGCAGCATTAGTCTTGCTGCTTGGTACAGCAAGCCCTCAAACATCAGACCTTCTTCTGTGTACCGTGTTTATTAGTAAATAATTAAGCACTAACAAGAATAAACTGTATTCTTATTTTGATGCACCGTGGTCAGCAGTTCACATTTTCTCTTTCTTGCATGCCTATTACTACGACAAACAACAAGCGAAACAGCTGAAGTGTTTGTGGATTTTGTAAGAAAACAGGCGAGTTGGTCTTGGGTCTGCCAACGTTCATAAAGTGGTCAGCATGGCTGCTAGTGATGCTTTTTTTCCAAGATACTTTGCTTCTACACGCGTGGCCGTCTTGCATGCTTAGCATTCGGTGCCCATCTACATGCCACGCAATGCATGCGCTATTTAGTGAACCCGCAACCATAGGTCGGCGTACTCACTCGTGAGTTGACTCACTCAGGCTCGGATCGAGCCACTAGTCTGAGTCTGTGTGAGTCCAGGTGAGTGATATTTTGGTGAGTTTGAGTCCGAGCGAGTCCACTTGAAGAAAAGTTTTGCGAGTGTGAGTCCGAGTGAGTCCAGCTCAGAAAATTTTTGGTGAGTGTTAGTCTGAGTGAGCTCAACAATTTTTACCGACCTATGCCCGCAGCCGCCCCAGCATCGCACTGTAGCTGAAACCCAGTATCAGCCCAGCCGGACAGCCATGCGATAAATACCGTCATAGAGGTGTGTGCAGGGTTCCCCATCATTCAAAGCAGCGCCCCCCCCCCCTCTTGGGTGACTTGGGGGTCAATGTATGGGGCAGATTTTGCGCCCTCCCCTCCTAGGTGACTAGGTGAGCCCCCCCCCCCCCCCCCCCCCATGCGCACGCCTATGAGTGCCGTAACGTGTCGCCTTTCCTACTGCGTAGACAGGCGACCGACATTTGCGTGCGGTAGATGCCGTATTTTCGGCGTTTACCCTACGGAGGTGCTACGGTGCCCCAATGAAATGGCCTGTACTGAAGTACAATAAAAACTCGGGCTCCCTATGCATTTGCCTGAGACGACTGGAAGGTAAAAGCCATGAAGACGATATTCTAGATGAATTACCCGTTCAAACGCTCACCGTTAATGGGCCTAGTTGCTGCATAACTTTGCAGGTAAGAACTTCAGCACAGACGAGGACTAATTACAGAGAGATGAGACGAGCCCTGGCGCAGTGTGCGTGCTCCATCCTGATTAGCGCTAAAGTTTTCACCTTCCAAATGTACTGAAGTAACATTTGTATCGGATGGAGAGAAGTAGCACAAGCACAGACCAGGAGCGTAGACTGGGGGGGGGGGGGGGGTACCCCCTTCGAAATTTTTCAATTTTGCACATGTATATATACACGCACATATACAAACGCACGCACGAACATACGCGAAGTATGGTCAAACCCCCCCCCCCCCCCCCCCCAAAAAAAAAAAAAATTCTGGCTACGCCCCTGGCACATGCCTGCGTGCAGCACATATAATCGCCCATCGTAGCAGCTGCACGCCCAATACTTCTTTCAAATGTGCCCGCGTGGGAGCCTTCGTCTGTTTTTCCTATTTTTCTAAGCTTGATTTGGCCTGTTGTAGAGCGACATTTTTAGTTCGGTCCTCATAGGCGTCTGCTAGTGACGCGAGTGAGCGCTGCCCATGGTTGCCAGGCGTGGCCACGCATGCGCAAAGGAGACCCATGTGGAACGTACTGCAGAGAACCTCTCCCCCGTAGACCGCCGCTAGTTGGGCAGGTGAGGAGTACAGTAGGTCGTGGTAACAAAATCACTACCAACCACACTGATGATGCGCTCGCGGCCGTTTCGCTAGCTTCACATATGCTAAATTTGTTATTACGTGACGCCAATGGATGACGAAGGTTTGTTACTCGTGCAAACATGATAATAATGAAATGCGTGTTATTTGAGAACACGACTACATGTCATAGTCAAGGTGCCAATACATTTCGACGTGACGCGGTGCGCGTGCTCATCGGCGTTCATTTCGTCGCGTGACGCCGGCGTTGCCACGCCAGGCGCCGGCCCCGCCATATACTCGCAGGCGCGCGCTGCGCTGCGTTGCTTTGACGCATGCGCGTTTCAGCGTGTCCGGCGTCCCTTCGTCACGAAAGGAGGCAGACGCAGTGTTGTCTGGGTAACGCATCGGCGCGAAATGCAGCACGTCACATTTCGCGCCGGTTGCCGTCGGGCTGCGCCGACGGACGCTGGTCGCGCCTGGCGTCAGACTATTGAGTGCTCGCATTTTGCCAACGTTGGGTCACTGTGCCCAGCGTGCGCGCGCGTCAACGCTACTTTGGAGTATCTTGGGCCTTTCACGACGCGCTCGCGGCCGTTTTGCTAGCTCCAAATATACAGATTTTGTGTTACGATACGTTAATGTATGACGAAATATATGACTGGCGCAAACATGATAATCCTGACACGCGTGTCATGTGACAACATGACAACATA